ATCCTCGTGCCACCAATCATGCATATCGATGCATGATAGTCAAGGAGTCAATTTGCACTACTCAATATAGAATGAATGCACATGAAAACTCAACTAAAACCTAACTCCATCATGGATAATCCGGAGTGTCGGTGATTGGGGAATTGAGACACGTTCCGTCACTCGGAGTACGAAACGTACCTCGTTTCCCGTGCTCAGGCTAACCCCTATCCCAAGCACGATTCAATATGCATGATATGCATGAAATGCAACTAATATACAACCTAGCATACACAATGCTATGAAATGGCATACACGATGCACGATGTAACAAGGCATACACAATGCTCTAACATACAACCTAGCATACGCAATGCTATGAAATGAAATAGCATACGCAATGCAATATGGACTTACACCAACATGAGTGGACCTCAGCCACACTCACATAGGAGGCCATAAGATGAAAATGAGACAACTAGGAATGCGTGCATACATGCACGCAAATCGAGGACCGAACCTAAGGCACGGAATGCCACTCTAACAAGACATGGCAAGGCATGGAATATGATATGCAAACATGCAAATTTCAGCAGCAAAACATGACCCAAAACAGCCCCGAATCATAGGAATATGGCACCCGATGCATGAAATGGTCCCGAAATGCAAGATTAAGCACACGAAATGACTTGTAGCTACATCAAGCATGCATTATTTGCTCATGACATGTGAAGACAGATTCAAGGCAACCCAAAAATAAGCATGTTTACAGTTCTAAGTAAGGCCAAATAGAAAACACAAATAGGGCAAAACTAGCATGCAAAAATGGCCGTAAATGTGAGATAATGAAGCAAATCACAGCTGCTGACCCCAAGAAGATTAGGGCCCTTCAACAATGTTGAAGATGGCCCCAAAATATGATGTTTTACAATTTACAACAAACCCCAAAAACCAGCACAGGTATGGCTAAGATCTCATGCAAGAAAAGGGCCAAAAGATGGACAAAGGAGCAAGTAGTGGTTGCTGGCCTTAAACACAAAGGGGCCCTTCAATAATGTTGAAGAGAGGCCAGAAATAATGCATTTTACAGTTGATGGACAGACCCAAAACAGTATGCATGCAAGCCTAAGATACCATGCAAAATGAGGCCAAAAAGAGAGATATAATGGCAAGTAGTAAATTGAAGCCTCAAACCATGAAAGACCCTTAATGAAACATGAATAGTGGGTCAAAATAAGACTGTTTTCAGTTCTGAAAAGAGCCCAAAAACAGAAGCATCCGAGGCTAACAAATCATGCAAAAATATGGCCAAAAGAGAGATATAAAGGCAAGTAATGAATAGAAGCCTCAAACAGTGATGAGCCCTTCAACAATGTTGAATAAGGGCTCAAAATAAGCAACTCTTCAGTTTATGACATACCTCAAAACAGATTATACATAAGCCAAAAATACTACACAAGATAATGGCATATAAGAGGGATAATGAAGCAAGTGCAACAAGGAGGCCTCAAACAGTGAGAGGCCCTTAAACAAAAGTGAAAAGGAGCTCAAAAAAATGCCACTTTCAGTTAGGGCCGGAGCTCAAAACAGTAAGCATGTATGGCTAAGAAATGATACAAGAATAAGCTCAAAAGAGTGGGAATGGTACTCACCCTTGAAGACCAAACTTTGGTAGCTACTTGGACCAAAATGCAGCACTCCTAAGCTCTGGAGAACACCCTCAAACTGCTGGAATGGAAGATGGAAGGGTAGGGCTATGTGTTGGTGAAGAAAAGGGGTATAGGACATGAGAGGTTTAGTGCTTGGAAGAGAGGAGAAAGAGAGATACAAAGCAAGGGTTTGAGGCCAAATATTCCAACCCTAATATCAGAGCTGGAGCCTCTGATATATAGGCAAGAATGGGGGGGAAAAGAGGGAAAAAATGGAGGGAAAACATGCCGAGTTTCCCTCCAAAAAGCAGCCTCCCGGATATAGAATCTGGGGGAAAAATGAATACACTTCTGCACTGTAGATGATGTGAGGATTCTGGCCGGCTGCTTATCTAGGTTGCAGGTGGCCGGCCGGCTACTTCACATGGCCGGCCGGCCAAGGGTCAAAAGGGTCAAGTGTGATTAATGGCCGGCCACCACAAATAGAGAGCCTCTGATGTGTGCACAACACAACCTTGTGGTTGAACACTGGAAAAAAGTGAACCAAGAGAGAGAACAACCCACTTTTCAAAGGGGTTCAAAAGGGTCAACAACAATTACTGGCCGGCCACCAAATATTGGTGGCCTCCCAGGTGTGTACATCACAAATATGTGGTTTTGGGTGCAAGAAAATGGTCCAAGGGTGTTCAACATTGGCTCTGAAGTGAGAAAAATCGGGCGACGAAGGGCGATGAAGGGATAAAGTTGGCTGACAGAACAATTACTGACCTCCTACCCTTCTACAGCCTTCTTACCAATGAAACAGAGGTCCCTGCCAAAAATGAACCAAAACCAATGCAGAATGAAGGTTCGGGGGCCGAAACACGCAGTTCGAGGCCCCGAAAACGGGCTGTTAAGCACCGGGAGTGGTGTTCGACCACGAAGTCGGTTTCTCGGACCTCAGTGTCCCTCAAAAGGGAGCAAATAAGAAGTATGCCAAAAAACGAAGCAAATGGAGATGGTTAAGCGGTTCCGAACCGAGGCACACGGCCAACGGTTCCGAAAAACCGGAAACCGGACTCCAAACGGGCAAAAATGGCCTACGACCACAAAACGTAGCCTACGGCCACTGAGAGATGATCTACGAGACCTCTCCCTCCCTTCGCGAAGAGAAAACAGAGAAAACCGAGCCTGGTTCGCAAACTGAGGCAAAGCACAAAAGAGTCCGGAAGCCCGGAGGCAAGGCTCACGGCCAAGACTCTGAAACTTCTGAATGAGCACAATATGCAATATCACCAAGCGCTCAACTGGTGACGTCTGAGTCTCAAGGTCGGTCAAAAATGGGGTGTCTACAGCAGGCAGTTGAGATTAGGTGATGTTCAGCAAGGTTTACGCTGACAGATGGGATAGCGGAGCCACGTGTCAGGAGATGATTGGGAGTGGATATGGGGCGCAGAGGGTATATAAGCATGTCTGCGTCCCCCATACGCGAGAGAGGAACACTTTGTAAGAATACTCTTACACTCTAACCCCCCTCTCTCTCGCTCTCTCTATCCTAAGGTGTGTGCTAACTTGATCGTCGGAGGGTTTTTCCGGCCACACACCGCCGGGTAGCTCACCATTGTTTGCTCGCAGGTGATCGGATAGAGACGGAGCTCGGAAGAAAGGAATACGGGCTTGCCGGAATATCTGCTTCCCGTACATTACCCAAACAGATAGTCTAACTTTAATTAGGACTATTGTCTTCCATTTGATTATCTCGGATTCAGGTGTGATATGTTCACATCTCGGCTAACCAAAATCACCCACGTGTAACCTCGACTAACAACTCAGGTCATGTGGACAACCCAAAAATTATGTCCCCACAGATACAGTGATATATCCTCAAAGGTATTTACATGATTTGAGACCAGTCTTACAATTAGAAATAAAAAATAAGAGAAGAATCATAAGAAAGAGCTATGATCTCCTAAGTAATCTCGATGACTCGGATTTGTGTACGAAGATTTGCGACTTGGATTCGTTTATGAATCGTTCACAAAGAGCTTTGAGAAAGATGTTGCCATTTTCGCCAATGGCGGTGATGGACCTAATGTCTGATTCTGTCAAGTTTTCTCCGTCAAAGAGGAGACAATTAGGGGTTCTTGGGAAGGGTGGGGAGGTCGCTGGAGTTTGTCAAACTGGGGGATTGCTAGATGTTGTCGAAGGAGTAGGGGCCGTCGGTGAAGATGAGGGTGAGAAGATGCCCTGTCCTTTTTTTTTTTTCTTTTTTTTTTTGGGCACCAAAACGATGTCGTTTTGGTGCATTACAACATACACTACACTAGATGTATTACAGCAGATTCACCCTCAAAGTTTGAGGGGTTATTTGGAAAGTGTTATGTAAATATATTTTTTTGACATTTTACAAGAAAAAGGTAAAATATGAATTGTATTTAAAGTGATGTGGTTGAAAGGTGATACAATACAAATAAAATAGTATGACCTAAACAAATCTATTTTAACACATGCCAAACAAAATTTAAGGGCTCATTTGTTAACAATACATTTTAACCAAAACATCACTATAAGTTATCACGTCACTTTCTCTATTTTCTACACATTATTTTATAAAAAATTAAAAAATTATTAAAATAATTTATTCGGAAACGAAATGTAGAAGTATGGTCCAAACTAATAACCCAACAAAATAAATGCCAAACAAGATGAAATTAACCCCTTCAATCCTTCAAATCCCATCAAACAAACACGTTTTATATATAAGTGCATAAAAGTCAATTTCTGGTCTCAGCCAATAATTGGGAGCATATTAAAATGATGCTTCCATCCGCATCTTAAAAAAATAAAAAATCTTCCATCAAGAATAATTGAAATCTCAAAACAAAAGATAAAAAAATTACTTCAAAGTGAAATCCTTTAAAATATAAAAATAAATCATTCAGTTTAAACTAAAAATTTTTAAGTTTTCAATTTATATTTTTAATTTTAGTGACTTTTTAATTTTTAAATCACTTAATTCAAATACACTTAAAAATACAAAATTTAAGATTTTTTAACAATTTTATTAAATATAAAAATGCGAAAAAATAGTATATTTTTATATTTATTAAATAAAATAGTATATTTTTATATTTATTAAATATTTTATTTTTAAATATATTTAAATTGACAAAATATGAAAAAATTCATTACAAAAATTTTAAAATATTTTTACAAAAATCAAAACCAGAAAAAAAAAAAGACAAAAACTATCTGACCCGTTTAAACTCTGCAAGAGAAGCGGTGTTCTCTCTTTCCCCTCTCTCTCTCTCCGTAAGCCTATGGTAGACAGCCGAGACAATAATATCGAAGGAAAGATCGCCATGGACGCTGATCTCGAATCAACCATCGAATTGTTCGTGGATTTTGATGATTGATTTTGACGAGCCAGAATAATCTCCAATCATTTGATTTGATGTCTCCGACCTTGATATGTCGCCGGCGTTGCCAGATTCCACAGCTCCTCCGGCAAACACCGCTCACCAACTGAAAAACCCTAATCGTAACGGTCAGATTTCCACTCCTTTTTCATTATATACTTGTGGCTTCTCTTCGTATAATCAATCAAACATCATGAATTCATCGCATTCAAATGCCGATCCTTCTGATATTGGTTTGAACAATCCGAGATTGGGTTCTGGGAAGCCAGAATTTGGCTCCGCTTTGGGCCGTTCGAAGCCGAGAATGGTGAAGCTGAGGAGGCACGCGGCTTCTAATCATCCGAGGTCGACACTGTCGTCGGAAACTGGTAACATTGATCCTGGGTTTAATCCGTTTCGACCCGTTTCGGATAATTCCATTTCTTCATTTTCTCAGATGGAAATGGGTTCTTCATTTTCTGGGAATTTGAACTTTGGGAATGCTGCTAATGATGATTTTGTGTTTGGAGCTAGCCCCGAAAAATCGACCACCAATTTGGATTCCAAGGTAGGGAATTCTAGTGGATTTGTGGAAAATGTTTTTCTTGACGACATGAGGAAATTGAAAATTGGACATGAACAAGAGTTTGTGAGTAAATTGAAAATTGGACATGAACAAGAGTTTGTGAGTAACATTAATCCTTCATTAAATTTAAATGCGAGTGATAGAGATAGTTCTAGCCATGCTAAACTTCCTGATGAAATGAGAAAATTGAACATTGAAGGCTCAAGCAATGTGGAAAGTTCTAAGAATGTTAAAAATGTGAATTCTAACTTGAATGCACATAATATGACCCATTTTATGTTTGGAAGTGGCAACAATGTCACCAATTCATTTGGTACGAGTGTGGCATCTGAACTTCCGACTGAGTTGAAGAAATTGAATATTAAAGATGCTGGGGAGGTTGATGGAAGTAATCTTAATTGCAGTGCTGATGATAAGAAGTCTGCATTTGGTTACATTAATAAGTGCAATAATTCTTTGGATGGAAGTTCAGCAAATATGCTTCCTGATAAGATGAAGAATTTGAACATGAAGGACTCTCTGAATACTTATGTTGGTGAGAAGGAAGAGGTCAATTTCACTTCCAGTGACAAGAGTGGCTTTGTTTTCAGAAGTACTAGAGGCGATTCTGGTAGTTTTGAAGGGAGAGCTGAAAATATGTTACTAGACGAGATGGAAAAGTTGAAAATAGCAAAGGAGGCTGGGGATAATAATTATCAAAGACAGGCGGGTTTTGGTTCCTCTACACCTTTTGCAAAGGACAGTCTTGGAAATTTGGGTGATAAGAAATTCCAGGATTTTAGGAGCGATAAGCTTCACGGCTGAGTTCACTTTTCAGGCAGGGCTGCAGGGTCAGAGTTTTAGTGGAAGTCAGGTTCCCCAAGAAGAATATGTCACACCTAACCAAAAAGGAAATATATTTACTTGTGTAGATAAGAAACTGGAGTTCAGTGCAAAGAGGGAATCGGTTAAAGATGCCAGGTCAAAGAAAAAAAGAGGAAAGTTGAGGATTCCTACCCCAGTTCAACCATGGCTTGGGCAGGATTTTAGCTCGAGGAAAAGTAGTTCACAAGAACGTGCAGACTCGTTTGAATCATATTCTCCAATGGATGTTTCTCCTTATCAGGAGACATTGGCAGATAATAGAGGTTCAAGAGAACCTTCTGTGACATCTGAAGAGGCCTTCCATTCTTATGTGGACAATGCCTCGAGCAAATCACACCCGACAGTTTCAAACGATGCAGCAGATGAAGATTTGGTTGTTGCAACTCAATGCTTGGATATTAATGAAGGTGATGTAAAATGTACAGAAATGAAAGTGGAAGGTTCTCAATATATGTTTGGTAAACGTCCTGTTGCTGAGGGTCCTTCAGGAGAACCTGCTTTGGGATCTGAGACCGACAGCTTTCAATCTGCAGCTGAACAGTTAGACTATAGCACTGATACATTTGTAACTGCTGCAGATTCTGAAGTGAGCTCCAGCTTGAGGATTGAGAATCAAGATATTGATGGCAAGATGCAATTTAGTTTTGCTTCAGCCTCGGAAGATGGTAGCTTCACATTTGCAGCATCTTCCTCTGCTCAAGGTCAATCGTCAGCAGCAATGCGCCACCACAAAAAGAAAAACCGTATAAAAGTTGTTAATGAGTCGTATAGTTCTCTTCCTAATACTAAAGTTTCACATACAGCATCCTCTACGCAGTTTCTCCCACACTCTGAATCATCTTCGCTTTTGTCCCCTAGGCGGGGTCAAAAAGGAGATCTACCTATTTCGTTCAGCAAAAGGGGGGATAGGTCTAACTTTGAAGTAGTCAAGGAACAGGAAACCAAGCAAGAAACTATCTCTACCCCTGCTGCAAGCATTGCAACTCAGGAAGCCTGTGAGAAGTGGCGACTAAGGTATGATTTTATTTCTAACCAGCTGGTTGACAGTTTTGCCAATACATCAATGGTGGAAATTGTCAAGTAATTATCTTTCTTGTATAGTATCTTTTTGGTCCATTTGGCAGTTTGGTCATGTTGCCCCAAAATAAGGTTACTGTGAGTCATTTTCATTGCATAATTTGTGACTGCTCTTGGTCGAGAATGTTGATTTTGATTAATATCAGGGGAAACCAAGCCTATGGCAATGGAGATATGTCAAGAGCCGAGGACTATTACACACAAGGGGTGAACTGTGTCCCTCAAAATGAGAATTCTAGAGGCTGCCTTAGGGCTTTGATGCTATGCTATAGCAACCGGGCAGCAACACGTATGTCCCTTGGAAAAATGAGAGAAGCACTGGCAGACTGCATGAAGGCTGCTGTAATAGATCCCAATTTTCTCAGGGTGCAAGTTCGAGCTGCAAAGTAAGGCTTCTTCTTTTTTTACCGATCTCTTGTTTGATTATGCATTTCTTAATTTCATATGCATTATGACATAAGGTTGCGAGGTTGCATCTGTCACTTCTTTATTGCTTAAGAATATGCAATGAAAGGTTATCTTTACTTTCCACTTCATACCACATCCTGGACACTACATGATGATAATAGGACTTTGTATAAATATATAGAATAAGCGGATATCGTGGAAGTTGGACTGGAAATGTGGATAGTCTTGCAGTAAGTTGTTCTAGATGAGTGATATATTGTGTGATGTTCAGCTGAGATCTTCTTTTTGATATTGTCCCAAAGGATTTAATTTTCTTGCCTATGGTTGTATTATGGGGTGCGATATAAGTCTCTCTTGGGTTTGGTTTCTGCTCTACATAGTTTTCTAATGTCAAAATGTCAACATGTTTATTTGATTTCTATATTCGCAGAAAATAATGATGAGGATGTGAAACACAGAGCAATATGTGCTTTTCTCATGTCCAAATAGTAATACTTAAATTTGGATTAACATATTGTATTCTTGAGCTACTGAACTTTACTAAACAAAGCTTTATCTACCAGTTACTAGTTATCTGGGGTTGTTTGGAAAGTGCTAGATTAGTATACTTTTTGACGTTTTACGAAAAAATGTGAAATATGGGTTGGGTTTGAATTGATGTGGTAGAGAGGTGATGTGACTTAAATAAGATGATTGTGACCTAAACAGGATAATGTGCTAAAATAGCATGTGCTATTTTAGCACATGCCAAACAACCACTTGGGATTATACTTACCAGTTACCATATGCTAATCCAACATATGTTTTTCAAATTGAGACTTTGGGACTGGAAACCTCTGGAAGAGCATTGCAATTTTTGAATGCTCATAGAATTTGAAAATTTTATTGCTGTAGACCAATAATCATATAATACCTCCCAAACACCCATTAATGGGTACTAAATACTAATTGGGCGTTGTTTTGTTTTATATAATTGTAGAACAATAGCCTATTGTTAATACCTCCCAAACACCCATTAATGGGTACTAAATACTAATTGGGCGTTGTTTTGTTTTATATAATTGTAGAACAATAGCCTATTGTTAACATTTGAAATCATATTGGGCGTGTTTGGCACTGCTTATATGAGTTGCTTATAGTTTTTTTTTTTTTTTTAATATTTATTTTGGGAGTCTGTTTTTTTTGAATATTTATTTTGGGAGTCTGTGCTAGAGTGTTTGATGTAGTTTCTACTTACAATTTATTACGCAAAAATAAGTAAATTAAGTTTAAAAAAATTGATTATTTGGAAGTTGGAGGAGGAGTGCTTTTGGTTTCTGTTTTCTTATTATCAGCTTTCAGTTTTCAAGAAGCTGCACCAAACATGCCCATTTTCCATGGATTGCTTTAAGAACCTTCGAATGATCTTTATCCTCTGAAAAGAATCATTTTTTATCTGCTTATGCATCCAATCAATCCTCATTCTTCCTGTCAATGTATACAAATGGATGATTGTAATACTACTTTTATTATGATTTCAGTTTATTTTGACATTAACATCTTCTTTTAGCATCCGGGAATAACTTTTCATTGTTGAATTTCAGAGCTTTCATGCATGTCTATGTTTGGTACGCATTTTAATTCTAACTGATTGATTTGTCGGGTGGATCTTTTTTTATATTAAATCTTGGTCATATTGAGGCTCATTATGTTACAATATGAACATTGTTATGTAATCCTCGACGTTATGTCTCCACTTTTAGGAGTGAAGTTCTCTGCTTTTAAGTTGAATGCCTAAAAGGGCTCTAAATTTTTGTGCTTTCTGGAATCTTGGCTGTTATGCTTGGTGTGCATTGTAGTTCTGACTGATTGATATGTTGTATGGACATTTTTATGTTAAATCATGTTTGTACTGATGCTCAATGATTTAGTGTATGGAAATTGTTTATATAGTTTTCATGTTGTTTCTCCACTTTTACTGGCGGGTAAATTATCTGCTTTTAAATGAAATACCTAAAAAGGTCCTGAAGGTTTCTGCCCTCTTGACTGTCATGCAGCATCTCTATCATTTGACGAATTTTGTTACACTTGTTTTCAATTTGCTAATGGACCATAGTCTTTGCGTATTTTGTTTCAGTTATTAGATGCTGAGTAACTCTAATTTGGATTTTGTTCAATAATATTGGATTCTTATGTCCAAAATTTTGCATCCTGTTTAGTTGTTACCTGGCCCTTGGGGAAGTTGAAGATGCATCAATACATTTCATTAAGTGCTTTCAATCAGGAAGTGATGCCTGTGTGGACCGTAAGCTGGTGTTAGAAGCCTCTGAGGGCCTGGAGAAGGTGCAGGTATAGTAATAGTTTATTCCTCAATTGTATTTTATTGTTTCCGATTTATTAATTCATTACTATTATTTGTTTTTATAAATTTTAACACCATTCAATGATGTAATACCAGTATGCATCTAAATCACTGAAAACTTCGTAACCAAATCATATCTTGTCACTAAATTGATGAGTGCTCATCCAGATGCATTGAGGTCATGTTTGTTTGTACGGATTGGATTAGATGAGGTCATGTTTTTTTTATTTTATTTTTTTAATTTATTTTTTTATTGCAGCTGATTGGGTGTTAGTTTGTGATATGTATTGTCCTCTTTGTTCTGAGTTTCGTCTCTTTGGGCTACTTCTTTTTATATGTATTTTTCCTTATAGAGGATGCCTTATCCTCATTTCTTTTGGCTTTATGCCTTAATAAAATCTTTGTTTGTTGCTGATAAAAAAATAAAAATAAAAAAATAAGCAATTCTAGGACTAACAGTCCTATGATTATCAATATGTTTGGATTGTGTATTCTATCGCATGCTTTGATTGACTTGGCATTATGAGGGATTTGACAAAATCCTATCAATTTTGCAATGTAACTAATTAGTCTAAACTTCTTCTTAGTCCATTTTGTATCCCACCTTTCTCTTGGGATTCAATAGTTCCTCATATAGGGGAGACTATATTCGGATGGACGATTAGTCCAGACCAAGGTTTTAAAAAGCGGCTGCAACCGTTACGTAACGCTGTTACGTAACGGTTTTGGCGGTTACCGCCACCCGTTACGGCCTCTTTTGCAGTGTGAATGAGATTCACAGGTGTGTCGGTCGTAGCGGCTACCGTAGCGGTCGTAACGGTGCCGTAACAGTCGTAACGGCCTATTACGCACCGTTACGTAACGGTTCCAAACTTGTAAAAATAAATTGATGTATATTATTTGTAAAAATTTATGTATTATTGATTGATGTTTTTGATATTGATGTCTATTACAATGATTCATGATTCCTATATATAGAAGAGGGTGAGTGTGTAGTAGGTAAGGAGTAGGTGAAGTGGATGTAGTAGTGGTGTAGTGGGTTAGGTTTAGTGGAGTAGGTGAGGTGGTAGTGGTGTAGTGGGTTAGGTTTAGTGGAGTAGGTTTAAGTGGGTGAAGTAGGTGGAGAGTAGGTGGATTTTAACAGCCCCCCGCAAACTCAAGGGGGATAGGAACTAACCAACTTGAGTTTGGAGAGAGTAACAAAACAAAAAAATACATAAAAATAAAAGAGGATAAGAGACACTGTATGGTCGTGTCAGACCATTGGTGAAGACACTGGATGGTGGTGTCATAACGTTGTAGAGGACACTGTATGGGGGTGTCATAACCATGTAGAGGACAATGCATGGTGGTGTCATAACGGTGTAGAGGACACTGGATGGCGGTGTCAGACTGATGTAGAAGACAGTTTATGGGGTCATGTCGGACTGTTGTAGCAGACACTGTGTGGTCGTGTCAGACCGATGTAGAAGACAGTTTATGGGGTCATGTCGGACCGAACCGTTACACTACGGCCTTTACACCCAGCAACCGCAACCGCAACCGCAACCGCGTCACCGCCACCGTTACGGCGACCGCAACCGCTTTTCAGAACCTTGGTCCAGACCCTAATTTTGTTAGCCAAACATCTGATTATGCGCTTTGTTGTAGTATAAATCCAATCCCAAGGCCATGTCTTCCCAAACAAACATGTACTGAGAGATGTCCTCTTTGAAGCAAAAGTTTGAGTTGCAAATCCCAGAAAGGAACTGGGAGTACTAACACCAAGTTGGGATGTGTTTAACTTTCTTGGCTTTCATCATTAAGTATCTTTTTGTTCATGTTATTCCTGATCCATAGATGGCAGAGATTCTTCAAAAGGAAAAAAAAAAAACTCAGCAGGCATTGGCGATATATATTTATATATGTTTTCTTTTATAGGTGTTAACTTGCAGGTTACATTTTTTGGTCAAGACCTGTAGGCTGTAGTTCTGTACAGAATAAACATGGAAGAAATGTCTAACCCTTGATGGCTTTAAAGAAATTAAAGGTGAGCCATTGTAGGATCTAGTGAAAATAAAGTAGTGAAATGATTAGAGGTGGGTGTTAGGGTGCTTTAAGAATAGGGTTGGTGCATGTGTATGGTTTTTCTTTAGAATAAATTTGATGCTTGTTTGTAGTTTGATGGCTGTGGGATGGAAGCTCTCGAGTTATGTAGTAGCTAGCACCAAGAGCTGTTAGGCTAACAGTTTGTCTTTTGTTTCCTTTGGAAGGCATTTGGTGGGCGGAATTTCCTTTCATGGAGGCCCTTTTTCCCCCTTCATTTGCATGAGGGGAAAGTGCTTCAAAGTATGTGCTAAATGTGCGAAGATGCAGATAAGCCAGTCAAGCATATCTTCTTCTTCTTTGTGGTGAGGATTTGAGTCATGGAAATTAGCCTTTCCTCCAAATAAAGGTTGCCTGCCGCCTATTACCTCTCTTAGGTCCTGTTGTAAGCGACAGCCTTTATGTACCGAGTACAACCTTTAGTCAAAGTTTGGTCTGACTCTTTAATAAGAGGTTAAATAGAAGTGGATAAATTGTTTGGTAAAATAATCAAAAGTTATTTTTCGTTAAGTGAGTAGTCATTCCAGTTCGCTAGAAGTTTATTTTGGTGGAAAATGTTTATCAACTGATCAGAGGGCAGATTGCAATGTCTCACTACTATTATTGGTTTTCATTCTGCTTTCTTCATTTGTTCCTTTCATTTTCTAATATGCCTACTATGTTATTTGTTTATTGTTATATAAGGAGATTGTTTGGGTAGGGGCTATTGTTGGTGTTGTGGTAAGAAACTCAGGCTATCCGTAGGATTTCTCACATACCCTAGTCAGTCAACCAAAAAAAAAAAAATTGTTCACAGATTCAGAGGAGTTTTATGGTCATATGACTCCTATATCAGATATAGTTCTGTAGTCTGTGTAAGCTTAGGTGGTTATGAAAAATGAAGGTTTGTAGTAGTCAAAGATTTGTGTTTGAGAGGTTTATATGATACCTGGACATATAAACCTATGTTACATGGACTCGGGTACAAGTATCGGGTGTGAGTGTGTAACCAAGCGTTAGACCTTCATAAATTTAAACCTTAAGATCTTGGGATACATATCCAAAATTGGATATGGGTACGGCGATGCATCATATACACACATATATTGCATATTATATAATATTTGCGGATGAAATGTTGTAAATTATATAGAAATATACTTGAAATTGAATAGGATTCAGGAAAAATATGAAATTTCTATATCTAATTCATGTGAGAGGCTAAAAATATTGCTTTATTAGAAAAATGTGAGTTTCTTCTTCTCATATATTGTAACAAATTAAAGGATCCGAATGTCTAAATTTGGGTAGGAGCGTCGGATACGTATCCCACACCTTGACCCATGTCATATCCGCTGGTGGACACGGGTACTGTGGGGGAAATGGAAGTTTCTTGACATCTTGTAAAGTTTGTATTGGTGCTAAAATTTGCTGAAGTTCAACCAAAAGTATTGTCATGTGTTCTTTTCGTTCTTGTTATTGTTATCACTGTTTTAATTTTTAGCTTGTGTAAGACTTGAAACAGTTTGATATGTTTATTAGTAATAAAACTCATAAGTTTATCCTGTCTGTCAGAAAGTGTCGGAGTGCATGAAGCAATCTGCAGAGCATCTGCAACGGAGAACATCCAGTGATGCAGAGAGTGCTTTGGGATTAATTTCTGAGGCTTTGATGATAAGCTCTCACTGTGAGAAATTGTTTGAAATGAAAGCAGATGCTCTTTTCATGGTTTGTGCATTTATTGTTAGTTGGAAACTTTATGCAACTCAAAAGTTTAAAAGATAAATACACGATATATTCGAGCAATTGATAGTGGACCTAAAGATTTGTCAAGAAAATTGGACTAACTTTTGTTTCATTAAACAGCTGCGGAAATATGAAGAGATGATTCAATTGTGTGAGCAGACTCTTGGTTCTGCTGAGATGAACTGTTCTGCAGTAGTAAGTGCTGATGGTCACATAACAAATCTGGACAGTTCTGATGCCCGAAAACCCCCCTCCTTCAGGCTATGGCGATGGCGCCTGATTATCCAGTCCTACTTCTATCTAGGGAGGCTTGAGGAAGCTCTTGAGTTTCTGAAGAAGCAAGAGGAATCTGTCTCTACCACTGAAGAGTAACAACTAATCTTTCCATATAGAACCTTCTACATATTTCTGTGGTTGATTTCATTAGGTTGTTGTTCATGTAACTTGAAGTTACTGATGTGGCTTTCCAGGAATGGATGCAAGACTTTGGAATCGTTAATACCCTTAGCTGCCACAATACGTGAGCTTGTAGTCCATAAGGTATGTTCATTCTGTACTTTGGCCTCTCTGCTTAGACTCATTGTTTGTAAAAACTGCTTTTATTTTTATTAAATATATGATTTGGAAGTATGCAACAAATACAGCAGTACCGTTCAATATCATGAGAAAGAAGCTGGACTATAATTATAGAATAGATATCCAGGCTTCGAAAAACTGGGAAAAGAAAGGAAAAGAGAAAGAGGAGATAGAGGAAGAATAAGAGGGAGAGAGAGAGGGAGAGAGGGAGCTTTTTGAAATTTCCTTTAGTAGTCATCTTTGTTGCTGCTCTAGTTTTGGACCATAAACCAACATTAAACAACAAATTGTCTGGGAAGCATTATACTGAATGTGGGTGGTAGCATATTAGGCGTCAGATTTCAATTTTTAAAACGACCCAAACTTCTACATATGAAAATACAGAAATATTCTGTAAAATTTCCTCCTACATCAAATAAGCAACTGACATAGATTCCATTTGTTGGAGCACATCATTTTGTTGTGTTAGGATATGTGGATAGATATATTATGGCCCATACAACTGTACTGCCCATGCTATATATGTTACAAAAAATTAAGGTGCTTGAAGCAAATAAAGTGAAACAGAAAATTGGCTCAGAAATTATGAAATGAGAAAGGGAAAAAAAAAAAAGGCAGAAAGAATCTTGTCCATATTTTTATCTTTTCATTTCACTTTGTCTGGCCATATTTCAATAGCCTACACATGGACTTCCAAAATACCTCTTGGGTAAGCATTATACGAAGAAGGAAAAAGAATGAAAAGAAAATAACACAGACAACAGGACTTAAATCTTTAATTCCTGTGGGTAATCAAGATGGAAGAGAAAATTCCCTTATTGAACCTTTAAGCAAGAATTCAAGATTGAATTATCTCCTGTTTAACCATGTCACCATTTTGTTGGGAGTTTTCAGTAGAATTAGAATGACTTTTTTCTTATAGTGTTCTTGGTGCTAGGGGCAGATGGAAGAAAGGGTAAAAAAAGAAGGGCACAAGGGGGAAGGGGGAGAGAAGGGAGCAGTTTCACTCATTTGGGTGGGAGTACGGAAGGGGACGGAAAGAGGAGAAATGATGTAGCAATACTCTGGGTACTCAAAATATGACATCTGTATCCATGGTTTTATGGTGGGAAGGACTTATATTTCAACCCACTCCGCAGGAAAGCTTCAACCATATGTAGATATCCTGAAGCAGTGGCCTCTTTAAGGCTTTTCAGGAGAACCATTTTTTTGTTTTTTTGATGGAAAAACCTCTTTCTCAGCTGGGTGAACAGAAGAACAGTGATTCCTTGGAATTCTCAAAGGCACCTCCAATCCTTGTTTTGGCCTGAATTTCTAAGGATATGAATGTAACACTTTTGCCAACAAGAAGTCGCTGCTATCTAATATCTCAAATGGTATTCAAAGACAACTTTAAATTGTTTCACATTAGACAACTTTCACCCATAAAGAATTTGACATAGCAGAATACGCACGAAACTAGATATTGTTCTAGTAGACGAAGACTCTTGAATCCACAAGAAAGAAACTCTTGAATCCACAAGGAAAAGAGAGTAACTTGGAAATTATATTGATGGAGAATGACTTTCCCCTTAGGCTTACATGATTATTTATACTAGATAAAGTCTTGGAAACCAAACATACTTTGAGACCAAGGAAAATATAAAAAAGTAATAAACTAAGATAATACTAGTCTTGGAGACCAAGTATAGGAAAATAAAAGAAAATAATAAACTAATCTTATTCTTGGAAAATAAGAAATCTAAGAAATTAGAAAAACAAAATCAAAACAAATTAAGAAACCTAACAATTCTAAAATATTTATACTAAATTACAATAATCTAAGTAAAATACTAATTCTAAAATATTAATACTAAAAATATAAAAATTCCTAAAATCTTGTCCTACATCAGAATTCAAAAAAAGTGCTCTACACCAAATATCATTTTCCCTCAGGAATTCCAAAGTGTCTCACTCCAAATGCTGAGATTACTGCTATGAAGCAATATGCTGAGTAATTTTCACTACACCTCCCTTCCGAATCACACTGTAGGAAACTTAGGACAAAAAATTAATACTCACTGGGATAATCCAACCACAGGTCATAGGACTCATAACACAAGAGACCATGAATAAAGGTTTCTATTTATTGTTATTGTTGTTATTATTATTATTGTTATTATTATTATTATTTGTCTTTTCTTGGTTGACTGCACATGAGAGAAAGGAGGTGGCCAGAGTTTTTGGTTGCTCTGTTTTGCCAAGCTGGGTTAAAAAATACTAACATGCTTATGCTTCTCTCTCTCTCTCTCTCTGTCTCTGTCTCTCTCTCTCTCTCTCATGTGTCTGTGTAATGATATGGATGTTGTTGTTGTGAATGTAGGCTTCAGGAAATGAAGCATTTCAATCAGGAAGGCATGCAGAAGCTGTTGAATGCTACACTGCTGCTTTATCATGCACTGTTGAGTCACGTCCCTTTGCAGCTGTTTGTTTTTGCAATCGCGCTGCTGCATACAAGGCTATGGGCCAGATCATAGATGCCATTGCAGATTGCAGCTTAGCTATAGCTCTTGATGGAAATTATCTGAAGGTTTGGCTCTAAAATAACAGTCTTCTTCATAGCTGCTTGATATGATTTTGCTGAGGAACTGGTGGAGTTGCTTGATCATCTGAGTTTTCATATTGAGTCCATTTTCTTTTTGCATTAAAATCCTGGATCTCCACTTGTTCGAAATATTTAAATCTAATCATGCGAGACTTGAAACTTCAAGATTCAACCTTGATATTGGGATCTAAGGTTACGGTTCTTCTTGGTGGTCAATGAACTTGTCTATCTTTATTACAATATGTGGCTAATGATTAGACATGCCACAAGGAGAAGCCAAATGGAGATAGAGGAGCATTTTAATTAATTAGCATACATTTTTTTTAATTAAGCATATGGCCCTTGATAGGCAAAATGGAGAGATACCTACCTAATGTGCACAATACCAAATCAATGCAATTGGTTGGCTAGGAAACAAGCAATGTGGATATATGTATATTACACACACACACACACACATATATACAGAGAGAGAGAGAGAGAGAGATTGGTGATTCTCATATTGCATGTACTTGACTATATATAGAGAGAGAGAGAATGAGAGAAGAGGGAAGGAGGGAAAAGGATATTGGAAGCCCTAGTCCAAGATTCCAACAGAAGTTAGAAAATCAGGATTAGCCTTGTTGAAGGGAATTGATGCGAAGGTGTCATTAGATGGAAGGAGGATGAAGTTTTCGGTGCATGTGGTGTGGGGAGGAGAGATTAGAGATTGTTTTTCCCTTTGTTTATTGATGTTAGTGGATATGAATGCTACAGTAGTATAGTGGCTGATTATTGCGTAGAGGAGGTACATGCATTTATTTATTTATTTATTTATTTTATTTATATTTTGTAATATAGAGAAGTTCGAGAGTGGGAGATAGTATAGTTGAAGGGTTCCTTGAGATGTTGCAGGGAATGCTAAGTATTTGTGTAGGCCAACAAGGCGAGATTTGATAAAATGGAGTCTTTCTAGATTTGGGTGCTTTCAAAAGAAATCTTTTTGTGAAGTGTTTGTCACACTTTCTCGCTCCCTTGGAAAGCTATATGGGACCCTAGGGATCCTTGTGAGGTGGCTTTTTGGTGTGGTGTTTAGCTTTTCTAAATTTGTGAAGTACTCGTATTGGATGTGTGACACTTATGTGAGAGTATGTGATATGGGTTTGGCATGCTTAGCTAGACATGTAGTGTTTATTTATTTTGATAGGTGAAAGTTAGTAGTTAGTTGTTAGATTAGCATGTTAGGGGAGTTGAACTCTCACCATCTCCTTGCAAGCACAAGTCTTGCCCCCCTATTCCACTCCTAAGAGTGAAACCCAAGACCTCCCGTTAGGAGAGACTTGGTGGCCAAAGGTTAGCTGCACAGGCTAGAACCCCTTGGTTAGACATGTAGTGTTTATTGTGTTGGGAATAAACTCACCCAAGCAGGGTCAGCCCTGAGGGCATGCAACCAAGGAGGTTGCCTTGGGCCGCCCTCCAATTTTGTTCAAAAAATAGGCCACAAAATACTTGTAACGCTTAGGTGTTTGGTTTATCGTAATGAAAGTGAAACAAAATGATCATTCCATTAGAATGTCCATTATCATATTTGGTTCCCTAAAAAAATGATGAAAAATAAATTGCAAATTGAATCATCATTTACCATTGTAAGTGAATGGTCATTCCATAGAGAGACTAAGGTATGAGTATTCCATTTCATTATACTTTCATTCTTGTGAATCAAACATAACATTATTTTATCAGTAGTTCAAAAAGTTTAAATGTTGGGTTGTTCCCCTTAAGTGATGCGTTGTGCCTACCTCTGGGTGTTTCGAAAAGTGAACAAGGGGCGCCGCATCGACGTCTGGGTGTAGTGAAAAATGGGCAAAGGTTTTCACGTTTTTCTGGACGAGCGTGGATAAAGAAGGTAGTCCAAGGGTTTAGGGTAGCCACATGGAATGTAGGAATTTTAACTGGTAAGACTATGGAATTGGTAGATGTCACAATTAGGAGGAGAGTTAGTATAACTTGCGTACAAGAAACTAAGTTGACCAATGAGAAACCTAGGGAAATAGAGGATACCGGTTTTAAATTATCTTATAGTGGCAAGGATAGACACATGAATGGGATAATAAGAATAATAGTTGCCAAGGGTCTTGTAGAAAATGTAGTTGTAGTCATTAGAAAATTAGATAGGATTATGTTAGTTAAACTAGTTATTGGAGAGAATATAGTGAATGTTATTAGTGGATACGCCCCCCAAGTAGGATTAGATGATTAAACTAAGAGAGATTTTTGGGACTAAAGGGATGAGGTATTATTGGAGATACCTGTAGAAATTTAATGTATAAAGAGAAATAAAGAATTGTATTATTGATTCATGTATTGATGTATATTACAATGATTCATGATTCCTATATATAGAAGAGGGTGAGTGTGTAGTAGGTAAGGAGTAGGTGAAGTGGAGGTGGTAGTGGTGTAGTGGGTTAGGTTTAGTGGAGTAGGTGAGATGGTAGTGGTGTAGTGGGTTAGGTTTAGTGGAGTAGGTGAGATGGTAGTGGTGTAGTGGGTTAGGTTTAGTGGAGTAGGTGAGATGGTAGTGGTGTAGTGGGTTAGGTTTAGTGGAGTAGGTGAGATGGTAGTGGTGTAGTGGGTTAGGTTTAGTGGAGTAGGTGAGATGGTAGTGGTGTAGTGGGTTAGGTTTAGTGGAGTAGGTGAGATGGTAGTGGTGTAGTGGGTTAGGTTTAGTGGAGTAGGTGAGATGGTAGTGGTGTAGTGGGTTAGGTTTAGTGGAGTAGGTGAGATGGTAGTGGTGTAGTGGGTTAGGTTTAGTGGAGTAGGTGAGATGGTAGTGGTGTAGTGGGTTAGGTTTAGTGGAGTAGGTGAGATGGTAGTGGTGTAGTGGGTTAGGTTTAGTGGAGTAGGTGAGATGGTAGTGGTGTAGTGGGTTAGGTTTAGTGGAGTAGGTGAGATGGTAGTGACTAAAACCTTAAGAGCTACAAATTGGCTAATAAGAAGGTCAAAAAAGTAGTAAGAAAGACTAAGTTGAAAACCTATGATGACCTATACATTAGATTAGATAGTAAGGAGGGAGAGAAGAGAATATACAAACTTACTAAGATAAGAAAGAAGAAAACAAGAGACTTTAATTAGGTTAAGTGCATCAAGAGTGAAGACTCTAAGGTGTTGGTGTTGGTGTTGGTGAAGGATGAAGAGATTAAGGAGAGGTGGAAGAACTATTTTGAGAAGTTGTTAAATGAACATGGAGGTAGGTCAAAAGGGGAGGAAGTAGGCAATAATAAAGAAAACTAGGGCTACTGGTTCTATCGTAGAATTAGGAACTTTGAAGTGGAGATTGCACTTAAGAAGATAAAATCGAATAAGGCTTTAGGACCCGATGATATCCCTATTGAAGCTTGGAAATGTTTGGGTAAGAAGGGGGTGCCTTAGTTGACTAGGTTATTTAGCAAGATTTTATTGAGTAGGAAAATGCTAGAGGAGTGGAGGAAGAATATCTTAGTGCCAATCTATAAGAATAAAGGAGATATCTAGAACTACAATAACTATAGAGTAATCAAGCTAATGTGTCATATAATGAAAGTGTGAGGGAGAGCGATGGAACATCGATTGCGAGATATAACAGAGTTGTTAGAGAATCAATTTGGATTTATGTCTGGTAGGTCAACAATGGAAGCGATCTATCTTTTGAGGAGAGTAATAGAAAAGTATAGAGAAAAAAAAAGAGACATTCATATGGTTTTTATCGATCTTGAGAAAGCATATAATAGAGTGCCTCAGGATATAATTTGGCGGGTGTTAGAGAAGAAATGGGTGACAAAAGGTTATATTGATGTGATGAGGGATATGTATGAAGGTGTGGTAACCACTATTAGATCGCTAGTTAGAGAGACATTTGAATTTTCAATTATTATAGGATTACACCAAGGATCAACCTTAAGTCCTTATCTTTTTGCTTCAGTTATGAATGAGTTGACGAGAAATATTCAGGATGATGTGCTATGATATATGCTTTTTGCAGATGATATCGTGTTAGTGGATGAGACTAGAGAAGAAGTTAACACAAAGTTGGAGACTTGGAGAGAAGCACTTGAATCTAAAAGATTTAGGATAAGCAAAACTAAGATAAAATACATAGAGTGTAATTTCAGTAACAGTAATAATGGAAGCTGAGGAGAAGTGAAGATTGAGGACCAAGCACTACTTAAGAGTGAACGTTTTCGTTATTTATGATCGATTATCACAACGTTTAGAGAGATTGGAGCGGATGTTGTCCATAGAATTAAAGTGGGGTGGCTTAAGTGGAGGAGTGCATCTGGAGTATTGTGCAATAAACAAGTATCCACTAGACTAAAAGGAAAATTCTATTGAATGACTATTAGACTAGTGATGTTGTATAGGACAGAATGTTGTGCAACTAAGAAACATGTAGATAAAATGAGTGTTGCTGAAATGAGGATATTTAGGTGGATGTGTGGCAAGACTAAAAAAGACAGAGTTAAGAATGAGTATATTCGAGGATGGGTAGGAGTAGTATCGATAGAAGATAAGTTGAGGGAGAATAGATTGATATAGTTTGGTCATATACAACGGAGACCAACAAAGGCAGTAGTGAAAAGATGCGATATAGTGACGGTAGATAGAAGTGTTAGGGGAAGGGGCAGACCTAGATTGATGTGGGCTAGTGTAGTAAATAGAAATATGAATATCCTTAATTTGACTAATGATATGGCTTTGGATAGAGTCGAATGGAGAAAAAGGATTTATGTAGTTGACCCCATTTAACGGGACTTAAGGCTTGGTTTGGATGCAAAAGGTTTAATCAAAACATTAAAAAACAACTGAAGTGATGAATTTGAATGGTTGTTTGCCAAATGCATGAATTGCTTATAGAACATTGTTAACTATGTCAGTTATAGTTGCCTACGGAAAAATAAAATTTTCAAAGTTGAAGTTGATTAAATCTTATAGTCAGTTCATATCACAAGAAAGATTGAATAATTTAACTGTTTTATTTATTTTTGCAAGCTCAATTAGTAATTTTGCATCTAAAAATGTGAGAAGAGTAATGTTTAAGTAATATTTCAGTTTAATTTTTTTTTGGTGTTATAGTTTTAAATTTTTTTGGAGTTTTACTTTGTTATAAATTGGATTGTTAAGTTATTAACTAACGCAACCGTGTTTTTATCTTTTTGAATTCTTATAATAATTTCTTCGTATCTTAATAAATAATTTTAGTGAATATATATGCAAGCAAACTTTGTATGGGTATTAACCAATATAAAAAATGCATACATACCATTTTACAATATATATATTTTTAAATATGTATAGAGGTCCCAATTTTTGAGTTTGCCTAGGGCCCAACAAAAGTCAGGGTTGGCCCTGCACCCAAGCAAGGAAAGCAAGGAAGCAAAATAAAATAAAATGGTTACAAAAAAAACACAATTTACATGGTTCGGCAACAATGCCTATGTCCACGAGTGAGTGAGAGCAATCCACTAACAGCAGAAAATTATAATGGTGAGATAAATACACACCATGGTATTTTTCCCACACTCCCTCAGTGTTATTTCTCTCAACCTCACACCCCAAAAAAGATACACACTGTTATCGCTCACATGAAAGCAACCCACTGTTGCTTCTCTCTGCCACTTACTACCCGTGGCTAACCTGACCCCTTGTACCTTTTGTACTCGCTGTGTGTATATATCTCATAGACCCATCGCAACACTCAATATACAAGCATAAACATGGTGCTTGATGATCACTTCCCAAGACAATTATTAGCCAAAGCAATCTGCAAAAGGGAATGCCTTTCCATCTTTCAAGAAGCTAGCTGCCACTATAGAAATAATCATTACATAGCTAACCGTATACTCTTTCCCACAAGACACAAGACAGTTCTTCTTCCTAAAAAATGTGTAGTAGGAATACCTGGTTAAGGTCAAAACTCTACCATCAAGCATGAGAAACTGCACTGTACCAATGCCAATGACCTTATTCATTGTATTGTCAGCCATCCTAACAGTATCACCGTTGCATGTTTGGTATGAATTAAAAAACTTTCTAGTTGCACACTAATGAAAAGAACATCCAGAAGCAAGTACCCAATCCAAAATTTTCATACCTGAATCTGGGAAAACTGCAAACAAATCATCTTTACTTAGGTTTGGAATCCACCACCTCTATAGAGTCAGATGGTTTTTCCTTCTCTTTGTCCGCCTTGAGCTTCTGATATTACTAAATTAAACCCTCTCAGTCACAATAGAAACACTTCTTGTAATTTATCAAAATAAAAATAAAATAGTAACACTTTTTGTAACCTCTTGATTGTGATCGACCCTTTGACTGCTCAGATCCACCATGTCTCTCCACCGTCCTTCCTTTAATTGGATTGTCATCTGAAGTGACCGTAACCCTTTCACTTGAGGTTTCTTCACTCTCTCTCTTTCCCAAAGTCCTGTGGGATATGAGAGTAGCGACCACCTCATCAAGCCCCAATGTGTCCGTCCCGTACATTAACGTGGTTCTTAGATGCTCATACAACAATGATAAACAGACCAACAAGAGGACCCCTTCGCAAAAATTATGTTATTTACTTTTTGGCTCACCAATTTGCTTGTAAATGGTTGTTTATCGTGCTCATACTTTTGCAGGCAATTTCTAGGCGATCCACTTTGTTTGAGATGATTAGAGATTATGAACAGGCAACAATGGACCTTCAGAGACTAGTGTCTCTTCTCATGAAGCAAGTGGAGGACAAGGCCAATCAGTCCAGTGCTTCTGATAGAATGAGCAGTGTGAACGAGTTAAGACAAGCTCAACAACGCCTTTCTATAATGGAAGAAGAAGCGAGAAAGGAAATTCCCTTGAATATGTACCTCATTTTGTAAGTTTTCCCTTCAGTTTATGATATTAACTATATGAATTTGTTATCTTATTTTACACTGTGTTGTCATGTAAAAATTTCAACAATTGCATGCATAAATGTGTCCTTCTAATGCATGAAGAAGTAACTTGTACTTTGATCAGTATCCTTTGGTTGGATAGGTTCATGAGGTTTTTAAGCTGTATCGTGTAGGAGAGCGCTAGAAATCTGGGTGTATGCTGCCCATTTTGATTATGATGGATGAAGGTTAGGCAAATGTTGTAGGTTTAGGATTTTAGAAGGTGGAATAAAGGCCCTTTTACTTTTATAGTCTTACCATAGAATGCAAAAGAACCTTTGTTCTACCTAAAACCCTATGATTTGGAACGAAGGGTACTTATGCAAGAAGTAAATCAATAAATACGGTTGTGGATTAGAAAGGGTCATTAGTTTTGGAAGTGATGGCTTACTGGATTTTCAAAATTAGTTGCTTAAATACTAGGCAGCAAGGATTTAGAGTGTTAAATTGAAATGGTTAGAAAGGGTTAAGATTGTGGAATTAGAGACGAAAAACTGAAGAAAAAAAATGCAAAAAGATGAAAAAGGAAAGAAGAGAGCTGCATTGTTATGGACCTTATTGATGCAAGAAAAACTTGTGGCCTATCATCATTTTCCAATCTCAGTTCTAAATTTTGGACATTTGGTCTGCTGCCTATAATGTTGGTAATTCTTTGATTAAGTCCCCGGTCAAAGAAACTAATTGCACTATTGTTGGACAGAGCTGTATTGTTTATTCATGTTTGGAATCATTATTTACCCAAGGGGGGAAGATTCATTATTTCATGATATATGGCTGGAAGGATTTTGTTTCCGTTTTAGTTAAAAATGAGTACATTTTAAAGGGCAATTTTCACCAAACAGCGAGGGATTCAGTGAAATGCAACAATATCAGGGGAGGCTAGTGTTATTTTTCAAAATTAATGGGGCCAACTGTAATTTGGGCAATTTTCAAGGGAGGTTGCTCAAAATTTTTCTTTAATATATACTCGTTTTTAGTCCCATGCTGTCACCCACTCCCCTCCAGTCACCATACCCCATTGCGATTGACACCACCAGCTTTCTCTTGCTAGGGCTTTGGGCAACAAATAGAGGTTAGGGGTTAGAGTTTTGGGTTTTGTGATTTGTGACAAGGATTTCAAGATACAGCACAAATGCTTCATCTTATAGATTGATGATGCATCAAATGGGGATTATGTTTTGATTATTGATTTGGGATTTGCATTTTTGCATTACTCAAATAAAGGTGGTCCCTAAGCTTGATGAACAGAGGTGATGTGGTTCGAATGTGAAGCTGTGGAGTGGTTAGAGATCACGAAGGAGGTCACATGTGATTCTTGTGCTGGGCTGATGAGATTGGGATTTTAAGGAGAGATATAAAGGGAGAATGAGAGACGGTCGTGTTGACAATGGTGACCTAGGCATTGATTTTTGATTTTTGCCTTGATTTCTGGCAAGGTGAGCTGTTGGTGGTGGAGTTGAAATAGGGGAGAGCAGGCAAAGGGTGGTGGTAATGGGTGGCAGTGGGGATAAGGGGGTGGCAGTGGAGGTGATGGCTGGAGGAGGAGGTAAGATGAGGGAGAGGAGGTTAAGGGTGGTAGTAGAGGTGAAATGAGAGAGGGGAAGTGAAGGGTGGCAGTGGTGAAAGGGGTGGTAGAGGGGTGTGCAAGTGTGGTGGGTAAAGAGGGCTAGAGGAAGAGGAAGGGATGGAGAGGTGGGTTAGAGTTGGGATTAGGGTCAGGGTTGATAGTGATGGCTGTAAATGATTGGGTTATTTTCATCATTTTATTATGTTTGTTGACTCTATTAACGTTTTAAGTCCATCGGTGGAGGTTGGTGTAATTTTTCATTACTAAAGGACCGGCGGGGAGAATGTTGTAATTTCCCCTATATGTTGTAATTTTCCCTATATTAAAAGAAGGCACCAAAAGAGAGGGCACAAACCCCATATGCTCAAAAGTATTTGTAAACCCATAAGCTTAGATATCTGAAAGTGTACAAGTTTCCGGGAAGTCAATAAAGGAATCAAGAAGAAAAAGACTCTCCCATCCAAAAATATAGTGAAACAGGAGAATTGTCTTCAAACAATGGATCAGAAGCTGTAAAACCATAAACAACGTGCAATTTCTTTCTTGCCAAATGCACCATATGATGACAAGGGTGTGGTTTCCGAACCTTGCTTCTATTATCACAATAGAGAGGAGTGAGAGATAGCATGTGTTCGTGGAATATGGAGTTGTGAGCTATCTGAATAGCATTCTTATTATCACAATACGGAGGAGTAAGAGACGATAGCCAGACACCTAAATTAGAAAGGAGCCAACGAAGCCAAACAACTTTAGCTGTAGCATGGGCCATAGCATGATATTCAATATCAAGCAATCTAACAAAACAAAGTTTTCACGGGCTTGATATAGAACACTCATTGATAATATGATTTGAACGATAATTCTTGTAGAATCGAGAATGAAGTTTTCATTTGATACATGTTGGTCATTTATGCATATGGAAATCCAATTAGTTCATTAACAAAACAATCAACAAATCAAAATAGTGGATTCCTTCTATATATTAAAACATTTCAAATTAAATAAATTTAGCTTTATATTTTAAGTTCAATATCTGTTCAGTTATTAGCAGGCATATTCCAAACATGAATACCCCTGAACCCATTGGCAGAACACCAGCAGTAGTGTTTCTTATTTGTCCAGGAGATAAGAGAGTTACCAAGATAAACTTTAAAAACTGGTAAGTGGACTTGTGATTAGACACATCTTGGGACCAATCATCATTGGCGTAAGCCTGAAGAGTTAAAGAGGAAGCAAAAATACTACAATAAACTTTGAAAGATGATACCACAAACATAATGTAAAATCCACAACAAAGCTCCCCAGTGAGTAGTGCAAAGTGTAGAAACACACTAACTGACCACATGAACTGCAGAGGCAATATCATGTCAAGTCATAGTAAGATAAACTAAACAACCCAAAAACTCTCAATTCAAAGCACGATCATCAATAGGAACACCATTAGTCAAAAAATTGGCACGTAACTCACGTGTCAATGCCTTATTATCCACGAGTCTGGCATGGCAAATGATCTCATTCACATACTGAGATGGAAAATGTCTAATTTCTTTTCAAATGTGTCACCATTTTTGCATTTCATTGCCAGGGGTGTTGATCCATCTGTAACAGCATCAGAAATTAAGAAGGCCTACCGGAAAGCTGCACTCAGACATCATCCTGACAAGGTTTCAGACTTTTACTATCTTCTGCTATACTTATAAGGCTAGTATCATTTATCCTTTCTAATAGTATTTTACTGATGTAGGCTGGTCAGTCCTTGACTAGAAGTGAGAATGGAGATGATGGGCTTTGGAAGGAAGTAGTGGACAATGTTCACAAAGATGCTGATAGGCTCTTCAAAATGATTGGAGAGGCATATGCAGTACTTTCAGATCCTACCAAGGTATCGTTCTTGTATTGTCTTACATAATTTGTTAACTCTCTCTGTCTGTACAGTAGTGGTACCACAAATTTTAAAAGGGCTGCTCAACAAGTTTCAATCTTTTCTATAAAATCTTTCCTCAATCATTGTTTACCTGCTCACTTACAATCCTGTAATAATCCCCTAAAAGATTCTTTTTGAGACATTACAACTAAATTCCATGCGAAACGAGCATTTTTTTTCTTTCTGCCCCCAACATACATGCAAGGTGATGAGGGCATCTCTTTAGTGTTCTGTACATGGTGCAGGTGGCTGGTGTTTTCTTACCCTGAAGATACATGTAGTACTTTTGGCTTTTGCAAGGTTTTTACTTTTAATTTTTAATTTTACAATAGAAAATTTGAAATGCATAAATTTGAAGTCAACAAGAGAAACCAGTCAGCTGAGAGAAATTAAAATAGAGAGAAATGAAACTTAGAATAAGACCTTATATTGCTGAGATACACACTCTGGAGATTGTTAGACTTGCAAGCAGAGAAAATAAGGAGAAAGAGAACAAGAAAGAGTGCAACCTTATATTACTGCCTCACCTTTGTTATTACTTCAAGTGAAACGACAGAGTGACATGCCAGGTGATATGAGGATATTTCTCAGTGTTCTATACTTGGTGCGTGTGGCAGCTGTTTTCTTACTCAGAAGATGCATATAGCAGTTTTGGTTTTTTGCTAGATTTTTATTTTTTTATTTTACAATAGAAATTTTAAATGCATTACATTTGCAGACAAGAGGAACCAGTCAGTTGAAACTATTGAGGCTGTGTTTGGATTATGGATTTGGATAGTGATGTGGAAAGGGAAAGTAAAAAATGGTGTGAAATGTAGTTGTATTTCATTCACATTTCACCCAACTTTTTCCGTTCCCTTTTCAAATTTCTACCAAATCCATGATCCAAACACAGTATAAAGGAAATAGACTTAATAATTTAGAAATGAAACTCATAATAAAACCTTATATTGTTGAGATGATTAACTCTAGAGATTGTAAGACAAACAAGTGGACAAAATAAGGGGAGACAGAAATAAGGCAAGGACAAGAAGAGAAATTGCAACCCTATCTTTGCCTCACCACTTTATTCTTATTACTTAAACTGACTTACCCTTATTCTTAATATTCATACTAACGTTCCCCCTCAAGCCGGAGCATATCAAATAAATTAATGAACCTAGCCTTGGTGTACACGACTAGTCCCAAAAGCTTAGGAAAGGGCCAAACAATGCATATCCAGCTCTCTAAGACATTTCATCAAACGTAAATTTGTAGAGAAATATAATATAAGCGTAGAAACAAATGTAAATAGAGAGACTTGAACCCAAGATCTCTCATTGCTTGAGCTCTAATAACATGTTAAATCACCACTAATCCCAAAAGCTAAATCTGTTAGGAAAGAGACCCGACAAAGTTTCAGTTAAAATTTTAAGGAGAAGAAATTTAGAGAGAAAGAAGAATAAAGATGAGAGAGAGTAATATGAAGGGAGGAGGCACAAAACCTAAAATCAGTTTGTCCTCTCTAACACTATTATTTATACTAATAAGCAACTTAGTGACAATTGCCAAACTACCCATCATCTAATAACTTAACACTCCCCCTCAAGTTGGTGCATAAATATCTCCCATGCCCAACTTGCACACAATAGGATGAAAAACCTTACTACCTAATTTTTTAGTAAATATGTCAACTAACTGATCTGTTGATTTTACAAAAGGCATACAAATTACTCCACTGTTGATTTTCTTCTTGATAAAATGTCTGTCAATTTCAATGTGTTTAGTCCTATCATTCTGAACTGGATTATGGGCAATGTTAATAGCAGCCTTATTGTCACAGTATAATCTCATTGGCCCACTACTTAACAGTCCCAAGTCAGTCAACAAAACCTGAAGCCATATAAGCTCACAAATGCCATTTTCCATGGCTCGATATTCAACTTCTGCACTCGACCTGACTACAATTGCCTACTTCTTACTTCACCAAGTCACCAAATTCCCTTCTACAAAGGTACAATAACCTGAGGTAGATCTCCTGTCATCAATTGCTCCGGCTCAATCAGCATTAGTGAAGGCCTCCATCCTCAAATGTACATGATTAGAGAACAATATCCCTTTTCTAGGCGCTGACTTTAAATACCATAGGATCGTGCATGAATTGGCTTACAACACCCACTATATACGTAATATCTAGTCTAGTATGAGAAAAGTATATTAATCTCCCCACAAGTCTCTGATAGCTTCCATTATTAACATGGTCTCCATCACTACTAAGTTTGTGGTTGGCCTCAATAGGGGAATCAATAGATCTACACCCCAACATCCCTACTTCCTCAAGGAGGTCTAAAATGTACTTTCTTTGAGAGATGAAGATACCCTTGTTTGACCTAGCAATCTCAATCCCAAAAAAATACCATAAAACACCAAGATTTTTAATCTCAAATTCCTTGGAGAGTCGAGCTTTGATTTGGGACATTTCCACCACATCATTAACAGTCAAAATTATGTCATCCACGCAAACAATAACTATGGTTATCTTATTTGCACACATTTTGATGAACATAGTATGATCCGCATGACTCTGCTTATACCCAAATCTAACCATTGCTTTCAAAAACCTATCAAATCAAGTTCTAGGAGACTCCTTCAAACCATACAAGGCCTTCTTTAGCCGACATACCTTCCCATTAGTGGCTGAAAAAGAAAAAGAAAAACCAAGAGGAACATCGATATACACTTCTTCTTCTAAATTGCTATGGAGAAAAGCATTATTTACATCCAATTGTTGCAATGGCCACCCCAGATTTGCTGCACAGGAAAGAAGGACATGAATAGAATTCATTTTGGCCACCGAAGCAAAGGTCTCCTGATAGTCAATGCCATAAGTCTTAGTTAACCCTTTAGCAACTAGTCTTGCCTTATATCTCTTAATGGTTCCGTCTGCTCTTTGCTTAATTGTGAACACTCATTTGCAGTCCACAGGTCTTTTTCCTAATGGTAGAGAAATTAACTCCCAAGTACCATTCTTACTCAGAGCTCTCATCTCCTCTGCTATGGCTTTTTTCCACTTGGGATCATTGAGTACTTCCTTTCAACCCTACGGAATAGATTAGGGGTGCAACTTGGACGGGTTCGGTCGGGTTGGGAGGTTGTTCAAGCCCAGCCCAAGCCCGAATTGTAACCCGAGGTTGCCTGCCCAAGCCTGACCCGAGTTATACCCGAGTTTCTCGAATTGCCCGAATTGTAAATAATTTTTTTTTTTTTTTTGTAGCTACATTATTAAATTATTAAAATTTGACTTTATTTATATATTTTTTATATATAGAAAATCATTAATACCATCAAAACAAATAATTTATATGATGTAAGAGAGATGCCATTATAGTAGTCTTTACAATTTATGAGTGAAAATAAAAAAAATAAAAAAAAGGTAAGATTTTATGTTATTTGTATATATAATATATATTCAATATGATTTAATAATTCAAATTACTTTAATATCATGTAATGACTAATAATTTATATATATATATATATATAACATTTTTATATGTCTATATATGTATAATTCGGGTTTCGGGTTGTTTGATATCTTTGCCTAAGCCCGTCCAAATTTAATTCGGGCTTTTGAATTTTTGCCTAAGCCCATACTGAATTTAAATATATCTTGTCCAAGCCCTAAAAAAATTCGGGTTGAGCCTGCCCAAGTTGCATCCCTAGAATAGATACAGAAGACAAAGACGAAACAAAAGCATGGTATGACGGAGACAAGGAGTCATATGACACAAATTTAGATATAGAATGTTGAATACAAGTTCTAACTCCTTCCCTAATAGCAATAGGTAGATCAAGTTCATCAACAGGAACAGGATTAGTAGTGACCAAGGGGTCATTACCTAAAGGTTCCACAGAGAAATTAGTAATTGGATCTGGAGATGGCGATGGACATGGCAGCACATGAGATGACTGTTCTTTTTGTCACCGGGAGTAGGTCTTGAGATTTGTTCTATCCAACCTACTAGACTCCCCCTGAACACACTCAGTTTGTGACTTCTCACAAGATTGTTCCTTCCTCTCACCACAAATGGTGGGAAAAAACATTGGATCAATTGGATTAGAAGAAACAATCTCTTCTATAGTAAAAACCTCCCCCCGAAGAGATTGGCCTGAGAAAAAAGATTTAGACTCACAAAAGGTGACATCGATAGTTACATAAGACTTACGGGAGTGAGGATCATAACACTTGTTGCCTTTCTGGGTGGAGGAATAACCAAGAAAAACACAGCGCACAACCTTAGAGTCTAGTTTGCTCCTAGTGGGGCGAGAAGAATGAACAAAACAAACACAACCAAACACCTTAGGAGGGAGAGAGTTGGGTGACAAAGAAGTATGGGGAAGAAGTTGGAGAGGGCGTTGAAACTGAAGAACACTAGAGGGCATGCGGTTAATAAGATAAGCAACGGTTAAAACAACCCCCCAGTATGGTTTAGGAACTTGCATCGTGAACATAAGAGCACGAGCAACCTCAAGTAGATAACGATTTTTCCGTTCCGCAACACCATTATGTTTAGGGGTACCGACACAATTGGTTTGATAAAGGACACCATGTTCTTCAAGATATGTATGAAAAATACCATCAATATATTCTATGCCATTGTCACTCCGAAGGACCTTAATGGCAGTGTCGAACTGAGTTTGAACCATCCTATGGAATGTTTGAAACAAAAGAAAAATTCATTTTTGGTGCAAAGCAAATAAACCCAAGTTACACAAGAATAGTAGTCAATAAAAGTAACAAACCAACGATAACCAGACACAGAATGAATAACCATAAAAGGAAACAAACTTTTTTTTATTAATTGAAGGATAACAAGAACGTTTATGCTTTGTAAATTCAAAAGCATCACAATGAAGATTATTACGATGACAATCCTTCACTAAACTGGGGAAAAGTTTTTCCAAAACAAAAATAGAGG